TACTCTGATTAGATACCCTGGTATTTTTTAACTCTTTGTAGGATGCATCATGGCAAATAATATTCTGCTCTCACACTGCATTTTATTCATAGATCTATAATTGCCTGCATTTTAATTATGAATATGAAAACTCCTTGATGTGGTACTTATACTTCATAACATAGTTTTAAATAATTCTGCTCCCTTCATTGAAAATGTTTATATCTTCACTAAAGAATTGCTTGAATTCTGCTCCCTTCATTGAAAATGTTTATTGTCGCTACAGGACAGTTTATATCTTCACTAAAGAATTGCTTATAAGTGTTGAAAACTTCAAAGTTGCTGTACATTTTATCAGCATTCCTTGTGGCTTAGCTGGTACAGAAGTAGTGGGTTCAAATATGGCATTGAAAGAGTCAGATCAGGTGTGCAGTCTGACTAATAAAATCTGGAGGACATTTCTGGTTTATGAATAACTTTTATCAAGTGAAAAGACACGTTACTGCTGTACTACTAATGGTGGCAGGCTGTAGAACCACCCTGTTCTCTGAGATACTTTTCAGTGCAGACCATCTCCTTTTACTGTCTTGTTAATGCTTATTCAACTAACTTAGTATCTTCCATGTCAACCTACTTTAAGCAAAGAACCTTGTGATCCTGAGATGTTACTTAGAAGTTTTTGTAAGAACTTTTGTCTTCATGTTCCTTCTGAAGGTGTTTTAGCAGCAAAGTTTCTGGTGTGATAGTAACCCTGCATCTGTCCTTGGTGTTAAGCTGATCAGCAGCTTTGGCATTAGGAGGAAATTTTTCTGCAGGGCACACAGGAAGGGGTAGTTGTTTGAAGTTTTTCCTTGCTTGTGATGCTTCTGAAAATTTTCATGGCTTTTGAAGTGAGCAATGTGATGGTGATAGCTTCTGCCCCTCTCCTGCTGTATTCTTCTGATGTGCTGCAGTCATGGCCTTAACCCTTACATTTATGAGACACTCTCATTCTGCAGCTGATGGTATACGAGGAACTGAAATTTCTAAGACCATGAGTATTGCCTGGTTCTAGCAATATCACACCTTAGAAAACCCTAAAAGAAGACCTCTCATTTTTCCCTTGTTTGGTTGTCATTCCTGGAGGTGATCAGACATGTCCCCTGGAGTCATGCCATTCTGAAGGATCTCCTCTCTGTCCTAGTTTGACTCTTAATTTAGGGGCTGCAAGGTGGAGGTAATTTTCTCTAGAGCTTCTTTAGCCTGTGGAGCACAATGTGAACTGTTGCAGGGCAAACTAGGTTCTTTTCTATGGAGAGTTATTTTCTTTTCTGACCATCCAAGCAACCCTGTGAGACCTCTCAAGCATCTTGCAGCCTCTGAAGTTATGGAGTATGAATACTTCATTCCTTCTTTCTCTGGTGCTCAGTTTAATGACTGACTTTGCAGCATTGTTTTAATGGTGCTGGCTTCACATGCAGAGCCAGAGAGCAATTGTTATTTCAGAAGTTAATTTTGTCTGGGAAACAAAAAATGTTTGTTGTAACTCAGTGACATTAACACAGATTTTTAGAATATGAAATAAGAATAGCTGTTTCCAATGGAAGCAGCAGACACCAACATAGAAATTAGATGAGTGATATATGCCCTAGGAAAAGTATTGTTTTCAGCAATAGAGTGTACTAGTACTTGTTTATCCAATCTCTATTAGCTTGCAGCATTACCACAATTCAATTAGCAGCCTTTTCAACATGACTTTTTTTCTGTTGGTGCATTATGCACCTGTATATGCTCAGTAATAATTTATAAGTGAGGTGGAGAGTTGCATGTGTGTGAGGAGGTTTGTTTCACGGTGTGGATGGTTTTCTGATGTTTGTTTTGCTTGTCATTTTTTTGTGTTTGCTGGCAGGCCTGGGCATGGTGGGCTTTTTTCTTTGTTTGTTTGGGCTTTGTGTTTTTTGGGGTGTGGTGGTTTTTTTTTGTTGTTGTTGTTTGTTTGTTTGTTTTGTTTGTTTTTTGGGTTTTTTTTGTGTTTTGTTTGTTTGTTTTGGTTGTGTTTTTTTTTTTTTTTTTTGTTTTTTTTTTGGGTTTTTTTTTGTTTTTGTTTGTTTGTTTGTTTTGGTTGTGGTTGTTTTTTGTTTTTTTAATGAAGATTCTTTTCTAAGCTGGGTAGTTAGAGCTTTGCTGAGGAGGCAGCCTGGGGACTGAGTGCTTCCTTAATATATGAACAGAGCACCCTACTTGCCAGTTTTCCCAAGCTGTCACATCAGCAATAAAGCTACTTGCTAAATAAATATAAAAGGTAATAAAACATTTTCATTAGTAATGATAACTACTTTTCTTGGGAGAAATTGAGAAAACAATTACTTGATTAAAATATTAATTAAATCAAGTGATTTTTGAGACATCTTTAAGACCTAAAGGTATATTATATATGATAAAACAGTGGCATAGTTCATTTTATGTATTACACGAGTGGTGCAGTGTTGCTTAGAAGAAATAAAACAATTCTCACTTCAACGCTTCTAATTTTAAGCTAGCCTGGCTTTGCATGTTAACAGCATTTTTCTCCAACTTATAAGTCTGCTCTCTTGTCAATGCCATCTGCTTGCTTGATTCACCAACCAGGTGATTTTTGCCATCTTCACTCTCCTCCTCAATATGCCCAGCAGTCCCATTTGGGTTTATGGGGTTAGTGTGCTAAGCAGTATTCATAAATTTATGTAAACATGCTCCTGATTCTAAAGAACCTTTCTCCATTTCTAGCTCAGTGGCTTCTAAATCTTCTACTGTTGGGGCATACAGCTCTGAATTATTTTACTGGTGTGTAATCTCTTGTTATGCCAGCTGGTTTTGTTGATCTGTAATGTATTCATTTATCCAATAGGTTCTACTGTAGCAAAGCACTTAATTTTAAGAGTGCAGGTAGACTTGGCGTGAAAAGAATGTAATTAGCTCAAAGCTAAGCACTTGCCTAAATGCTTTGCTGGATTTGAGGCTTAGGAAAGAGATGAAAAGATTGGTCTAATTATGCTGAATTTGTTTTAGAGCTGCTTTATCCTAATAGCCTTATCACCAGACCACTTCTGATTATGGATTTTCAGCATAGAAGACTTTTCACATCTTGTCAGGCTTTTCATAGAATCATAGCTCTCTCTGGTTTTTTTTTTTGAACTATAATCTTCAGCATGGCTTGCATAAGCAAATGTATCACTGCCTCTTAGGAAAGTGACTTAGGGAAGCCATGTCTTAAAAAATTGGATGTTGAAGGCAATGAAAAACTCATGTCACCAGTTCATTTGATTTTCACATACAAGATGTGCAAAATATTTATTCTTTAGCTACTGCAAGTTCAGACTGCCATAGCCTAAAGAATATTGGTGTCAGTAAGACCAGATTGACCAAAAAAAAAAAGAGAGGGAAATTGATAAAGCAAATTGCATGAATTAAATTTTGCTCTGCTATTGATTTGGGCTGAGAAATTGTTAGAACTATTGGGGAAAAAAAAGAAGTATGTAAACCACTGAAAAAAAAATGAAGAATTTTCTAGCTCTTACCTGCTGGTGTTTGCCTTCTTCCATTCCTAAAATCTGTGTGTACTCACTCTCATAGATTTCAGGGGGGATTTTTAGGATTTGGTTTAACTCATGGTCACTGAAAAACTGCCCTAAATCTAAAGTTGCAAGAATTACTGCTTCCTCAAGGCAGAGTTTAGCTGGACTGGGGTTTTGCTTTTCCCACTGCTGTGGGAAATGAGGTATTACTGAGACCAGAAAGCCACATAGTAGCCCCAGGTGTTTCCAAAGAAAAGGACATTTGTTGAGTTGCCTTTGAAAATCCTTCCTCTTCTGTAGTGTTTAGCTTGGATGCCTTGTCATTTCTGAAGGCGTAGCAAGCTCATCATGGAATTCCCACCATGCAGTTTCCTGTGTGTTATTTTTCAGAGGCAGGGTTATACTGCGGTTGTCTTTCCCCACTTGTTCCTACTTACTCCTGTAGGAATTTTTGGCATCTTTATCAAGGATGGCACTTGGGCAAATGCTTAATTTGATTGCACTGCCTAGACACAAAGATAGAAATGGTCTTAGACACTCTTGAAAAAGTGTGAGTTGAGGCAGATGTTTAGTGCTTTTGAAGATGTAAACCACATAAGTGCTTTCTCAGAAAAATTATTAATCTTTTTTTTTTACAATATATATCATGGTAGGCAGAAGGAGGAGAAAAGCACACAGCCACGTAGCAATAGGTTTGTAACAGCTTCTTTGGGCAATAGAGGGCCCCTGGCTTTTGCCTTACTTCTATTTTTTAACAGGCTTAGGACAAACACTAGTGGGTAGTGAGAAACTCCCAGCTGTTTCCAGCTCTGTCCTGCCTTGTTGTGAGCCCTTGTCCACTTTTTCTCTTTTTGCTTCCATGTCTGTTTAAAATACAAAGGCTGGTAAGGTGAGGACTGGCTCTTGCTCTCTTTGACCCTGCCTGCCACACCCAGGCGACTTGCTCCCCTCTGGCGTCTCAAAATGTATATGTAATACAAGTAATTGTTAAGAAATTTCTCTCTTGTCACTCAGTCATCTACAATTTGGGATTCTCGGTGTACTGGAGACTGACTAACCACTCCACCATCAGTATGACAAAGTCTGACAGGTTTCTCTGTAGACAGTTTCAGGTTCTCTGTTCAGATAGCACTGGTATTTTCAGTGATGGATCAGGTACTGAAGACTTGACCTTGTTCATCTTGTGGACACTGTTGAAAGGTCTCAAAAGTGTCTCAAGCGAAAAATTCAGACAGAAGCCTGCAGTTCCAGGAGAGCATTGGAAATGATGGCTTGGTGATGATACAGCTTTCATCACCATGGGTTATCTTCTGTCTTTTCAATACATGTCAGCACAGGGTTTGCCCTGCTTTTGGTAGTACATGAGAATGCAAGTGGACTGAGGGATGTCAGTCTTAACTTGCATCTGTTGTGAGCTATGTCCTCAGCTATGAAGCTGTATGCATAATGCTTTCTGCCTGACATCAGTTTTCTTTTTGTCTTTTGCAGCACTTTTACAGGCAGTCATATCTGGTGATGTACTGAAGGTAGGTACAGAGTGTCCACTTACACACAGTGTTTTGCTGGTCAGATATACTGTACATTTTATTACACCTCTGCTCAAATCATAAATAGGCTGCTGTGGGGACTTCTGGCAAGTGCCATTTTACAGCCTTTCCAGGAAACCCTGAACACCAGGGGAACACATCATTCAGGTGAGGTGTGAAATTTGCGTGAATAGGATTTGGTGTTAGCCAGAGCCTTTTTGCCCAGGATTCAGAGCCCACTGTACAGAGTAATGTGCCAGTTACTAACAGGGAAATTACTGTATTGGCAGTGTTGAACAGCAGGGTAATTCTGAAACAGACTTGCACAGGAAAGCATATTTTCCACCAGGGAGGTTGGTGGCCAAGACACCAAGCACTAGCTCGCTCAAAGTCTACCTAGGCAATCACCAGATCAGACAGAACAAACCTCAGCTGGTTGTTTTATCATCTGATGGATGTCTCAAAACATGTAGTGCCTTGGTATAGTAAGTTTGGGAGGTAAAACTGCTCACGCAAATTTTTTTGTGCCAATGACTGCAGTCCCGCATCAGACAGCTATTCAGGCTGCCTGTCTCAGTAGCCAAGTCAGGATCTGAAAACATGCTCTCGAATTTGGATGAGGACTGTGATTAATGATTGCAATTTTATCTGTGAGAAGCCAGCTTGGAGCCATTTGTAAAAATGACAGTGCTGTTAGGCCAACTTTTTGCCTGCAGGTATTTTGCCTCCCTTCTATACCACTGCCTCAGCTCTTGGCTGCAGCATCTAGGGAGCAGTCCTTCAAGCAGTCATAAAAATATTGTCTCTTATACACTTCTTGAACATGTTTTGCCTGAGCTGGCTTTGATGGGGAAACTCCTTGTCCTTCTTCAGATGTACTGCATCACAAATGAGTCCTCACCATAGCAATTCTCTCCTTTTTCTGCAGTGATCTGCACTGCAAATCCCACCCTCCCTCCCCCAAAATTTGCAGCATTTCTGAGACCTGCCTGGTTGCTGTTTCCCACTTGTTCTTATCCCATGTATTTCTTCCTCCTTGGCCAGCCCTGAACAGGGGGCAATGTGACAAGGGAGGTCCATGACAGTCACCTCATCTCCATGTGGAATTTTGAGTTGGAGTTTTCTGATATAGTCAGAAAATATTTGACTCCTGTGCTGAGGAAAAGTTTGATTCTTCAGCAAAGAAGCCAGAATTTTCTATCAAGTACATATACTTTAATGTATCCCAACAGCGTTGCCAGATGTGGTTTGCAAGCATTCCTAGCAAACAATAAATCATCACCAGTAGAGTAGCAATGTCTCATTGTTTAGCAAATACAGACTGTTCTCTTTAACCCATATAACTGTCAATACTTCTGGTTTCAGATGTTTTATATCAGGGCCTAAAAGCTGGCTTTAAATTAATCTTTTATTTTATTTTATTCTATTTGGTACTGATTTACAATGAGAACCAATAAAGAATTTACTGACATGTTTGGTTTTTTACTCCTCCCATCTTATAATTCTGTATGGGGTTTTTTTCTCTCTTTTTTTTTTTTTTTTTTCTTTCCAGTTCATAGAATGTTGTAAAAAAGGAGCCAATTTGTTAATCCAAGGACCTGATCACTGCTCCTTATTGCACCACGCAGCCAAGACTGGGAACGGCGAGATAGTGAAATACATCCTGGAGCATGGTGAGTCCCTGGGGCAGATCCACGGGGAGCTGTACCTCAGCCAAGTGTCACTCAGGCAAAACCACACCTGGCTGCTGGAGGTGGGCTCACTCATCTGTGGTGTCCCTCAGTGAAATGTCCACCTGTAGCATGTGTGAGCAGGAGGCTGAGAATGGAGTAGCAATGAGAGTGATGGCTCCAGGCAAAGTGTGAAAAGAAGAATTAGAATGGCTTTTGAGGAGAGTGGTGTTTTCACGTTTGCATCATCTGGGGGACTGTGAAGAGGCAGTGTGAAGCTTTAGTTAAAACCTCTGGCACAGGGATCCTCTGAACTGTTTTTCAATTATAGTGTGTGTTGTAGAAAGCATCTAATCTCTATTAAAACATTTACAGCGACAAAGAGCCCATATAACCATTGTTATTATTTCAGCATTTAGTAACATGCTGATCAGGAATCTGCTTCCTTACTTCTAGACAAATTCATCTAGCTTCCATTCCAGCCTTGGAATATTATGTCTGTTAGATTCAAGACCACCCAACAGCAAAAACCTATGATCTCCATTTTGTATTTATGGACTGTGATCATGCTATTGCCCTTTTTTCCCTTTCATGCTTCTTATCTTTGTCAGTAGATTACAGGCTATGCCGCATTTTTTTTGTGTCTGAGGCAGTCACATTTAGGAGCTTCTGCCTGTTGAACCACTGCAACCTTGTTCCCTCACTGCTGGAGAGTGGCACAGTAAAATAGTTACTGCTCTGCACACAGAGCTGAAGTCAGAGTTATCAGCCTCCTTCACTGTAGGAAAAGTTATCTAGTCTTCTCTTCTCTGACCCCACTTCAAAATATCAGTGGCTAATTTGGCTTCTGGATGTCAAAATCAGATACATTATTTCAACAGCAGTGTTAGTGTGAACACAGAGACTGCTCCTGGTAATTAGAATAAGTGTTAGCTGTTGCTCCAAGGCATTGCACAAATTGTACAGAAAGAAGAAAAAAGCACAACTCCTAAGAAAGGAAGAAGCAACAATGCATCTCTTCAACCTTGACCCCTAAGTTAGGTATTAACATATGGGTGTCAGGTATTCTATAGGTCCAATTCCTGTACTGTCAGCAGCAATCTCTAACTTAGTTCATTTGCTCTGGTGTGACAAAGGCACTTTTGGTGGCAGATGGAAGTGAGGAGGGCATCCTTAATAGCAGCAGGCTTCTAGCATGACTCAAAGGACATCATAGTCAAGGTAGTCATTGGAGCCCAGAAAGTGATTCAGGCAACGTGTGTACTTTATTCATTTTGATAAACATAAATGTCTAATGTCATTTGCCCTTGGATATCCAGGACATTTGCTTGGGTCTACAAGATAGCACACAAGACCCAGAGGAGGCCTGACCTGCACTAACAGCCAAAGCCCAAGCAAGCATCTCCATCATTCCAAGTGCATCCCAAGGCTTGCCCCATGGTATATCAAACAGCACAAAATATCTGAATGTGGGCAACCAAGCCATGTCCTAAAAATCTGAGAGGGCCTGAGTTGTTCGTTTACTCCTTTATGTATAGATACCTACAAATGGATAAGGCAGTGCAGTTGGCCTTATATCCAAATAATGACTGGTTTTCTCACCAGTTCCAGCAAACCTTACCAGTGGTAACTCTACCTTCTATTTACCTGCTCTGGATTGTCGCATTAGTCACAGTGCACACATGTGCCACTGAATTCTGTAGACAGGCATAATTTTGCTTTATTTCCTTACTGCCCCTGGTCTCTTCTCACACTGCACATGACCTCTGTCAATTCATTGATGCCTCTCTAGGATTTTTATTGGACACATATACTTTGACTTAGTGACAGTCTGACCTAGTTACTGTTCTTTTGGTGAACATTTAAAGTGAGGTAATTTAAACTAATAAGATTGTAAGCAGGGAATCCATGGGAATTTTTGAAGTAAATAGAGAAATGTAAGGGATTACAGACTGTTAAACAAAGACAAATTAGAAGGTTGAGCAAATGTCAGCTCAGTTCTCTCTCTTCTTTATCCCCGAGAATGGCAGGAAGCTTTTGCAGCTTTCCAGACAAATGTCCTCTGGGCTTCTCCAAACACATTGTTTGTTTAACATTCTCTGGGGATCAGGGAGTGCCTGGGACAATGCACAATCTAATAGAGGCCTCCTCTCTTCTGCCACCAAGCAATTAATGAAACTCATTTCTACTCTGGGCACTTATCAGCCACAAATGAGCTCTCTTGCTGAATCATCATCATCATAATGCCCTTGTTTTTCTTTGCATTCTCTGGCATTTGGCATCTTCTCAGCATTGATTACTGTACATGACCTGATCCAATGCTACTAATATCTAAGGGTTTCCCTGCGTGGAGCTTCTTGTTTCTGCCAATATCCACCCATAAAAATTTCATAAAAATGAGTCTTACTTCTGTTCTGGCAATTACCTCTGCCCAGTCACACTTCCTCTGGATTTTGTCTGCTTCCCAATACACGGCTGAGGATAGTGAATGATAGTAGGAGTTCCACTGTAATACCCTCAAGCACGCAGCAAAGAGAATCTCTTATTAAACACACAGGGAAAAATCTTCTGAATATCTCTAAAAAACAACAGCAAAAAAAGAAGACCAAACCCACTTCTCCAGGAACTTTAACTTTCTAGTCTGAGAAACAGTGGGATGAATCCAATACAATACAGGAGTGGCACACACAGAATTAGAATTACAAAGGAAGGAAAATGCTGTAGTGGTGCTAAAGCTGTCCTTTGTGAAGATGGCCTATTCTGCAAACATGCAGGGCACATTTATATGGAAGGTTATTCTGTGATCACGATCAGAATGATTTCAGATGTTAAGGGGAAGAAAATAACCTATCTTAAATTAGAAATAGCAGGGATGAGTCACACAGGGGGACTGCTGTGAGGTGCCTCCAGATAATTTGCAGTGGCCCAGCACAAGCCAGGAATGGCAGCTGAAGCACCAATGTAGTAGGTGTCAGGACAACAGCTGCTTGCTGCTGCAGGAAGAGTTGTGCTGGCTGCTGCTTCAGTAAAACAGTTTGTCTCTATCCCCTGTGCAGGAAGGGCAGATACATAGAGACACAAATCTATCACACATTCAAGACTGGCCACCTAAATCAGGAGTCTTTCGGTTTTAGTAGAAGGATCAGCTTTAAGAACTTGTCTGTAGCTGAGGTAAGAAATGCTTAGCTAGAAACTGTGGGCCAAACTCAGTAGGTATCACAATCACAGCTTTTTAATGCTGCAGTCAGCAACTGCATTGCATCCTAATGCATGTACATTAGAGAAGAGTTAACTGTCTACTTGCTTAACACAAACAGAATTAAGGAAGGCTTAAGAACCTCTGTTAGAAAAGGGGTCTCCTAAACAATCTGTATTTGGTATCAAACTTGGATTGGAGTCTTTATCTGGCAGCTGTGAAAAGTTTGTAATTTATAAGCACTATACAAATAATTCCATTTGCCTTGTCTTTGTCTTCTCTAGACATTCAAAAGACAAGCAAGAATTGTAAAATTCATCTCTGGCATTTTGATTTTAAACAGAAGAGAGGAAAGATGTTTACAGTTGCCTTAGGAGGTTGTGGTGGGAATTTCTGATGCAACAGACAGTATGTAGGGCATCCCATCCTTAACATTTCTGTGTCCTCAAACCTCAATGTCCTTGCTTCACTAGAAAGCATCCCCTGATTAAAAGAAAAAAAAAAAAGGCACTTTCATTAATCTTAGCACTGTAAAGTCCAGAGCTAAGAGCCATCAGTGAATCTGGATTTGCATCCTGACCAGATTCAGAAGTTCCTTGGATGGCTTTGGGAAAGCAAATGTTCCTGTGACAGGGATGTGTGTCAGGGACAAATATTGAGTAGTCATCAGAAAGCAACACAATGAAAGTGAGTTTGCATGACACTAGTTAATATATCTAGATTTGCAGAATGTTTTATGGTAGTGGTCACTTGTGAGGGGACTGAGCAGAAAGCAGTTTAGTTTTTTCTGGAAGGCACGAGGTATAACATAGCCTATTTTAATTTCAAGCATACCAAATTTTAGGGTAACGTGGCTGACAGACATGTAGGAAGGAATGCTCCCATAACCTGTCTAGCCTCTATATTACAGTGGAAATTCTGAGCTAAAAGACACTCACAGAAAAGACCACTGTTAATTTTCCCATCAGGTAAAAAAAAAAAAAAAGTGTGGTGTTGGGGAAAGATTAGAAATAGTTCTGAATTTCCAGTTTACTGTTATTTTAAAAATACTCCTACTTTGAAGGTAAGGATCCACATCCAGTTTTGTCCCCCAGACAATAACCCAAATCAGGTTATTAACAAAGAGGGTTTTGACAGATGAATATGCAGAAATGTTGATAATGTCTGACATTACTGCTTGGAGTAAATACCCTTTTTCCTCAGTTCTATGAAGGACTGACAGAACACAGGACTGGCAGGGGTTAACATCTGTGGGTCTCCTGTGGGCAGCTGTAACCACATCCATTGGAGAGGGCTAAGCTGTGGGCTCAGAGGCCTTTCAAGAATGTGTAGAGCTGTATATTTTGGAAATGCCTCTGAAATATGGTCACCTAAAGTGTTGGGTTTTTTTTTTATTGTAGTGAGCTTAGTGAAGGAGCAGCTGCTTTTGAGTCTCCTTGCCTTCCCTCCTCCCATACCCAGCCCAGGCTGCTTTGCCTTCTGAGAAACTGGAGAAGGGCTTTGGTGGAGCGAAAAAGGGCAAAAGGAGAGAAGGAAAAAAGTTAATAATTCTACACAGACAGTCTATGGGCGATGTTGGGGAAAGAGAGTGATCTCAGCTGGGCTTCCCCTCAGTGCGTCATGCTTTTCAGCTCTTTTCAAGTGAATATCTCCCCCCACCCAGTCCCCCGTCCCCATCCTGCCATTCTTCAGCCCCCCAGTCTCTTTTTCCCTTTCTCTCTCTTTTTTTTTCCTCCCTCCACCTCTCCACACATTTCTATCTTTTGTTTTTATTTCCCCCCCTGCTGTTTTCCTTGATAGAAATCTCACTCATGCATTTCCCTTCCGGATTTCTATTGGGTTATTTTGTCCTCTTTCTCTCCGTGCCTTGGTCCCCTTTTCTTTCTCTGCCTCTTGTCCCAGAGTGAAACAGCCGCCTCCCCGCTGGGTCAGGATGACAGTACCGTTAGCTTTCCCAGTGCCAGCCCTTCCCACATCTGTGCAGCTTTTGTCCCCGGGCAGAGGGGGATTTGGAATGGTCGGTTGGCAGCGCCAGGGAGACTGATATAAAAATGAGGTCCAAAAAAGAGGGGAAAGGGAATTAGGAAGAGGGCGTGAGATGGTTTAAGAGAAGCACAAGTGAAAATAAAATAAAGAAGTAAAGGGCACCACTCAGGCTGTGAGTTGGGACATTCCAGCTTCAGAGACAGGCCAGAGAGAATGAAATTAAAGAATCCCGGTACCATGTCGTGCAGCTAATTATTAACTCCAGTATCTGGCCCTTACGTACAGCTCAGATGGAGTCAGGGCTCTCCCATGAAATACTTAATTTGGGACAGGAGAGCACCCTTGGCACTTAGGGGAGGTGTACTTGTCATCTCCTCAGGTCTGTATCACAGACTGCCCTCAGGGTCCTCAGCACTGAGCTACTCTGTCCTAGCCCTGCTATTTCTTCCTGCCTCACACCAGTTTTCCACTACCCTTGGCTTCTCTCCAGACCCACTCTGCCCCAACTTTCTTCTCCTTCTCAGGTCATATTCTTCTGAATACTCTCTATTTTACTGCTTTTACTTACCTTTTAACAGCTTCTTCCGCTTACCTGGGCAAGGTCCTCTATGTCCCATAAAGCCAGACCTGTCACCCTGCTCCACCTTGGCAATACAACCTTCCTTGCTCCAACCATGAGCAGAAATAATAGGTGGCAGTGTCTTCTCTAACACATTGCAAGCCATTCCTGCTTACCTATCACTGAGATGTGGCATTGCAGGAAGCTAGGGGAAATTATTTTTATTTTTGGGAGAACATGATTTTCTCCTAGGAAATGTAAAGGACTCATTTTTGAGAGAACATGATTTTCATGTGTATTTCTTTAAGGACTCATTTTCTTCATGTGTATTTCTTTTATTATCTTTTTAGTTTCTCAGGCATTATCTTCTTTTCCTCTCAACAAGAGGCTTTGCTTATCCCCCTTTATCCTTCTTTGTGGTCCTGGGAGCTCAGGGGTAGTGACTGATTCTTCTTTTTGATAGGCAGGAGTGAACACACAACTGCCAAGTGTGGAGATGAGGATGTGTGGTGGTAGAGTCAGGCTGCATTAAATAATTGACAGTGGCTACTGAGTTTGGAGAGCTGTCATGGCAAGTATGCAGTGGTACACAATGCCCTGTGCACTGAGGACTAAGCACCACCGTTTCTCATGATGCCAGAAAATGAAATGAAGGAGATGCCTGCAGCTCAGGAGCCCCAGTGATACTTCATGTGTACATTGTAAAAGCAGTGAGGTAAAGACAGGCTGCTCTGATCCATTTTGACACACACTCAGACTAAAAGGAGTGTAGAGAGGTTGTGTGTAGGCCTTTGTAAGCAAGTAGTGTGAAATTCCTCACTTTCAGGTGAGATTTGCTGTAAGCTCTTGAGGACTCTTGAATATCAAAGTCACAGCGTGCTAGAGAGAAATACTCATGCGCAGGAAGGAAAAGTCTTGTAATATTTCCCTGTTCCCCTTGCTAACTGCCCTATACCATCTAACACTACACTCCAGAGCAGTGGAGAGAAGAATACTATGACAGACTGCAAAGGAAAAGTTGGTTTTTTTCAAGTGATATCCAGATCCTAGCCTTTCCATATTACTGTAATTCAGCGATGGAATTTGCCTCTACAGATATCTGCCTGTAGTGAATATCAAGGACAAAAGGACATTAAAATAAATGTATTATTTTTCTTCCTACTTAACGAAAATCTTTTCTGTTTTTCTTAATCTTACTTTCCTGATCATTGCTAACCAGTAGAGCACAGGATTTGCATATCAATATAAAGACCGCTGGGAATATTCCACCCTGATCTACATTTTGTATAACACTATTAAATGGAGTAGCACAGGGATGTCATTCAGGATGGAATTTGGCTAATTTCAACTTCCTAATGACATTTTCCTTCTAATGCCAACAATAGATTTTAACTTGCAGTATATCAGGATTTCCAGTATATCAGCATTTTCAATGTACTGTACTTATGTGAACCACTTAATTGAGCAAGGTGAAGAGTGAGAAAATAAACCCCATGAATATTCATTCCCAGTGTAATTTAGAGGCTGCTACTCCCTGTTGCTGACACTCCAGCAGTGACTGTGCATTCAGAATTTTATTAGTGCAAGGGCTTACACAAGCAAATATTACATTGAAGTTTGACATATTTTGCAGGTTGAGCTTTCACTTGGCTTCTCTTATATATTTTTACTGGGAATCTTCTCCTGGAAGACATATTTTTTTAGGCATGCAGACAAATACTTTATGACATACCCGACTGTCTTTTGCAGGTCCATCTGAATTACTGGACATGACAGACAGTGAAACGTAAGTACAACCTACTCTGCCCTCCACGTTATATGTGTTAAACTAGCAGACTCTTGGTTTTCAAGTGCAAACTGTTAAAAAGGAAAAAGCTGGTAAAATGGCACAACTCTTCAAAACCAACCAAACAAACAGAAGACCCCCTAAAAACCACACACCAACCACCTCATATATGGCTTTCTTGCCTAAAACAAACATTCAATGGATTTACAGAGGACTTTCTTCCTATTGCTTCCTATGCTTCCTTGATCTTTCTAGAGGTATAGAAGCCCTGCCTTGTGTTTTGATGTTTCTGGCCTCCAGTTACTAAGGGACCAACCTGAAGAGTAAATTCCAAAAGTCAGGAAATTACTTTTCTTGCTCTACACCTTTTTTTTCAGTCCCTTCTTGATTCATCCAGGGTGCTCTGCCTTAGCTCTCCCAAATGGTCAGGACTTGTGCAGTTGAAGGTTTCCATCAAGTAGTTAAAACAGCAATCACCTACTTTTTTATTAAAAAAAAAAACAAACAAAAAAAACAAACCCAACCCAACCCAAAAAAATTACTTTCCAATTCCCAATTTTTTTACACCTTGTATAATCAAAGTTTCACAAAAGTATGTGAGGGAAGCATGAATAATCCTGGAAAATATGTGTAATATGTATGAAATGAAACCAGTCTTTTTCATAGGGATCAAGCCTACCATTTCTCATCCCACAGTGCCCTCCTCTGCTAACAGAGAACACCTTTTGCACAAGGTGCATGAGTGAAGTCCAGAGGTGACAGGGACTGGATGGACTGCTTGGTCCTTTTCATCCAGGGGTGTAGCACAACCACATCAAGTGTCAGTGAGCACAGAGCTGTGAGGGCTTCCCTTTACAGAGGTTCCTCTACCTCTAACCCTTGGAAAGGGAAGGTTCAAGCTGTAACTGGCAGTATGAATTTTGTTTTGATCCTCAGGGGGAAATAGAATGGTACCCAATTCTGATACTAGCTCTGATGCAGCAAAGGCATATTGATTACAAGGTTGCCTCTTGATATTTCAACATCCCCTGTCATGGATGGGGGCTGAGATTTCTTTATGCACTCTGTGTAGGTAGGTGCAAGATTTGTCCTACAACATGTATTTCTTATAATTTGTTATTTCACAGGTTATGTAATGGCCCTACTTGTTGGATACTGGCATTAAGGACTCCTTTTCAACCCACTCAAAGCATACTTTCCTCTCTTCCTGGCCAAATCCAAATAGACTTCTTTACTTTCACTAAAGCCCTTTACAGAGGTTCCTCTACCTCTAACCCTTGGAAAGGGAAGGTTCAAGCTGTAACTGGCAGTATTAATTTTTTTTTTTTTTTGATCCTCAGGGGGAAAAAGAATGGTACCCAATTTTGATACTAGCTCTGATGCAGCAAAGGCATATTGATTACAAGGTTGCCTCTTGATATTTCAACATCCCCTGTCATGGATGGGGGCTGAGATTTCTTTATGCACTCTGTGTAGGTAGGTGCAAGATTTGTCCTACAACATGTATTTCTTATAATTTGTTATTTCACAGGTTATGTAATGGCCCTACTTGTTGGATACTGGCATTAAGGACTCCTTTTCAACCCACTCAAAGCATACTTTCCTCTCTTCCTGGCCAAATCTAAATAGACTTCTTTACTCTCACTAAAGAGTAAGTCAGTTTCAGTCAGTTTTAGAATCCTGTCAGACTTAGCTCCAGTCTGAGTGAGAAGCTTTGCAATAAATGTGCTCCCACCACACAGTCTTCTCTTCTGAGAAGCATGTATTTAATCTTCCCCAGTACCTCAGCAGTCCAGTGGTGGAAAACACATGAGAGTTCTTGCTCTCATACATCCAAGAGAGCAGGGTATCAGAACTGGGGCAGCAAGTGCACCAGTCATAGATTTCATGAGTAGGATTTTTCTAGGATGGCTCCAGGCATGAGGTTGAGAAAAGAAATTGCAGGAAGAAATAAACCCTGTTGCTGTTTCACCTTCTGTGAAATAAGAAGGTGGCTAGCTTGCCTTTGCAGCAGCCTTTGCAGAGCTGCTGGTTGGATGGGAATGTGACATTCAGTCCTCTGAATACATAAAATCTGTCAATGTTTCTTTCCCATCCCTCAGAAATTCTTCGTCTGCTATTTGTGCATTGCAGGCTTTCCTACTGAGTCAAAGGATGTAAATGCTAAGGGAGAGAGTGCACAAGCCTACCTCTGCCAGCAAGAGGGAACCTCGCAGAAATGCAGCATCCTTCTGTGTCTATCCTCTGCTCCTCATGCTTCGTAAATGTACATTGGTGTGCTGTGTCTCACGGCTGGTTTCTGTACTTTGGTCTAGGGGTGAGACAGCACTACATAAGGCAGCCTGCCAGCGCCACCGCGCCGTCTGCCAGCTCCTGGTGGATGCGGGAGCCTCTCTGAGGAAGACAGATTCCAAGGTAATGCAGCTCCATCAGCCCCTCACAAACCCCTACGCCGAGCGAGACCCGGCAGCGTCCTCCCTGCTTTTTGTATGACTGAGGCTTCCTTGTGTGTGCCGAGGGCAGCTCCTTTGAAGCAAGCTATTTTTATAGAGAAAACTGTATTGATTTAAACAAACACGAGAGACTTCAGTTCAGTCCCCAACATGGGTTGCTGTCACCACAGTGAGAGCCTGGCCTCAAACTGTTTGGTGCATTGGGTGTGAATGAGACATCTCCATGGCACAGCATTATCCTCCTCCTGTATGGTCAAAAGAGAGGTCTGTGGGCAAGGACCACCTGCAGGAGCCTTGATGTCTGATTGCACAGCATCTGTGAGGCTTGGTTATTGTGGCTGGCTTGCTTTGTGAGGATGGCTAACTATTTTTGTTTGCCTTGGCTTGCCCCTGTGCTCACTGTTGTGACGCTAACCACAGCACTCTCTTGGTCTAAGCTTGACTGAGAAAGAAATCTGGGAAAAATGAAATCCAAGGAATATTCTGTCATTCCAACAATCTGATTGCTTAGGAACATGGTCCAGAAGCTGCCTCTCTGGGGTTTCTGAGCACAAGCACCCTGTGGTCAGCAGCTGAGAGCGAGCTGGTTCTCTGGACTCCAGAGTCAGAAGCACCTTTTCTGCAGCTGGGCAATCAAAACTAATTTTTGCCTTCTTGGGCTCTGTGAGGTAGCCTGTAATGGGAAGAGAAGTCATCTATGACTCTATCACTCTTGTTCAGATGGCAGAATTGTACACACCTTTTCTGCAGCTGGGCAATCAAAACTAATTTTTGCCTTCTTGGGCTCTGTGAGGTAGCCTGTAATGGAGAAGTCATCTATGACTCTATCATTCTTGTTCAGATGGCAGAATTGTACGTTGCAAAAAGCTTTCTGAAACAGATGAAATCCGGACAAGTGGTTTGTGACTCGTTAATCATCTTCTGCCTAGAAATCATCTGTTGTTTTAAACGTGTTAGCACAAGACTTTCTCTTCATGTTTCTCATTACAGGGTAAGACCCCTCGGGACAGGGCTCAGCAAGCTGGTGATCCAGACCTGGCTTCCTACCTGGAGAGTCGACAAAACTATCAAATGGTTTCCCATGAGGACCTAGAGACAGCAGTCTGATGCCTGAAAGCGTCTGAGAGGATCCCTGGAAATCTCGAGACCGCACCTGAGGCACTCGGGCATTGTGTGAGGAAGAAACTGATGGAACCCACATGTCTCTCACTCTCGAGGAAAATACCTGAAGACATGCCACCAGTTTCTAAGGGCTACTGAGTCTTGCCACGGAACGGTTGTGTTCCATAAGTTAGCCCATGATGGATGAGGTGGGACACTCAAAGGTCTGTGGAATCCATAGGCCACAAAAATTTACCTTTATTGCTTCCAGCAAGTAGCATGAACTTCTCCCATGGTCATCCGTATAATTTATTTAAAAAAAAAAAAAAGGAAAGAGTAAAGAGGGTGTGGGGGAACAAAATCCAAACTAACTGGTACATTAAGCCACCCAACCAGGCTGTCCTCCATCCTTACAGTTACTGCATTGCTTTTATTCTCCTATTCCCCTCACTTCTCATCAGTTAAATATTATCTGTTATCTCTGTGTTGTCTTCACAAATGGTCAGGCAGTAGCAAAATGTCTGAGGAGCTCTGGATGCCCTTTAAAAATATCCAGTGTGTTTGTCAGCTACATTCCCTCCCCTGCCATCCTCTTGGAAGCTGTGTTGCCAGCACTCAGCCCCCACGGAGTTTCCTTGCTTTTGGAGAGGATGCTATTTATTGCCTTGTTTCCCAGGGTTTGGGGCATGATCAGATTTACAGCAGTGACAAAACCCAACCTCATCATTTCTGGGCATGAGGTTATGGTATCCTCACGAGACAGGCATTTGCATGGAAAGGAGCTCTATGGGATACACCATGCTTAATGGCAGAGCAGGAAGTCACCAGGAGGGTTTCTCATATCACTTTTATGCCTGTAATGGCTGACTCAGTTCTTCTCAGGTTTCAGGCCTGCCTAGAAGTTGATATCTTCTTTAGTTCTTTACTTCTGAAAATATGGGTTTTACCCTAGGGAGAGATTTGTGCAAGACTGAGGGAATTCTGATGGACTCAATGACAGACCTAGTCCCCTTTGCAGCACAGCCAGAGGGAGGAAGGAGACCTGGAACATCAGCAGCCAGCCTGGGCTCATTGCTGCCACCAAACAAATGGGCACTGGCCTGGTCACATTGGGAATGGAAAAACCTTATTTGACTGAACCTGTAAACTATCTGATTTTTCAAGGGAACCAGGTTTTGGGGGGAGTCTGTGGAAGTCTGTCCCTGGAGGAAGACAAGCAGCAGCTCATTGCCTTCTTGCCCACAATAGGTTTGAAATGTAAAGCTTAGCTGCTGTAAAGGCCAGCTGTTTCTTCTGTACTCATCTGTTCTCTGTCTTATAACTATAAAGGAAGAGAAAGCAAACAAATACACAAGCATAAATAAAATGTTTCATCTTTGAGTTTCTAATTGCTACAGATATCTCAGTTGACAAAATAGCCGAGCTTCCACTTCTACTTTGTCAGACCGGTGCCCATGAAGACGCTCATGGCTGACTTTTGGCATAACTCTTGCAATACATTTTTGAATTTTGCTTTGTTGTTTGATTCAAAAGATCCACCAGTGTTTGTTTTCACATCCCTTGCTAGGGGTAGCTCTCTGATAGAAGGTGATCATTGGGGTTACATACATTTGGAAACCATGAAAATAACTCAGGTCATTATTCAGATAAGTTTTTCTTCTTTGGTAGAAGTGAAGAAAATCAAATGAATGCATTTTTTTTTAAGCACGAGTGATTGTTGTAGTAGGGAGGGGGGAGCTGAACAATGTATTTTAATTTTTTTCCTCTTTTCAAAAGTTCATTTGATATGGGCAAAATATTTCTTTAGTATTTCTTCCTCTGGAAGGAAACTATATATATTTGTAATCTATAGATCAATGGCAACATGAAATGTATTTTGTCTTATTTTCTGTCTTTACCTTTCTCATTTAAAAAATAAAATATGAAAGCCAAATTACTTCCCTTGATAATTATCCAGGGGTTTGTGGAGAAAATAAGTATCTGTATATATTAGAACAGAATTTGGCAACTGTTAAAATAAAAACTCAGAATATAGTTTTGGTGTATGTGATATTTCCACAAGGAAAGATCCTCACACTGTGGTTGCATGGTAGGCCTTGCATCATTTCCCAGCTGTGAGAAAATACATTACTGTAATATTTCTATACATTTGATGGAAACAAGAATTATGTTATAATCACTTTAATCTTTTGGTTTTCTTTACTGATCTGAGAAATGGAGGAAGTTTTAATAGCACAGGAGCTTGGCTCTGTCCTGTGCTGAGGCCAAGCTGAGTATGGTCACTGAGCCTGTGAGAGCTCCCTGATTCTTTAGCCCCATGAAGCAGCTTGCTTTCATCACAGGTGTGAGATGAAATGGCCAGATGTGGATTATGATAAGGGAGCTGCTTCTGGTCCCTCTGTCCCCAGTTGTTCTTCCCTTGTCAGCTCATCCCTGGTAGCCAGGAGGTGCCTGCAGCTGTGGCTGGCTCTGGAGCAGCTTGCCAGGATGGGAAGATTTCCTGAGCAATTTTGTGCCATTTGGACAGCTCAGAGGAACCCAGAGCACATGGGAGAGCATGACTTGCCTTTTTCACCAAAAGCTGGAGTACGGTGGTACGATCAGAGTGAGTCTGTTGAGCCTCTGGAAAGCTGTCTGTGCTGTGTACTCAGCAGGAGACAGCTACTGTATGATAAAAATAGCCCCCAGCACTGGAGGTAGGGCAGGAATGGGCTGGATGTGGTGCCTTTGACGTCCAAGGTATCCTAAGCACCGCACACATGAGGCATTAGATACCGGTGATGTTTGGTATCCGCAGGAAACGGAGAACATCTGATGGCTTCCACAATGATTCATGTGACAAGGAATATCAGAAGTTGGCTCACTGAGAGCAGTTTGGGACCAGGACCATTCCTTGCCCTTAAGTGTGGTGGGATTACCAGAAGCAGCAGGCTCTGCAGCAGTTAAAGGTAACACATTTGTATTGAATCTCTGGAGCACTTGGGGTCAAGGTTAGTACAGTACAACTGTGCCTGCACTGGGCAGGGCCCAAATTCCAGCGTGCAGCTGGGAGTCCCCTTAAATTACATGTAAAGCATTTTGATTTACTAAAGCATCTGTTCAGTGGTTGCTTCTGTTAATGTGTGTATATTACTATATATATGTATATTTATAAATATCAGTATGCATGTATATAGATGCACACATACACATGCAAACACACTTGAAATTGTGTCATTTGAATGACAAAGCCCCTAGGGATGCTCAGCTACTGAGATTGCTGGACTGACAAAATGCCATTTGCCATTTTAATTTGTTATTGAAGGGAACCTTTCTCAGTAGAACTGAGGAGCTTCGAAATTTTTCCGTTGTACTGATTTTACTATCTCATTTTGGAGTTAAATGGAGGGAAAGAAATATTATTAATAATAATAAAATAAAATTAACTTTGTAATTTAATAGCATCAATTACTCTTATTATTTCATGTTTCAATGCTAGATATATTTTTTGTGTTACTCAAGGCATGATGATGTCATACAGTTTTTTACTTATTATAGCATAGAATGGTAGTGGACAGGGGCACCTTGTACTAGACCAGGTTACCCAGAGCTCCATCTAAGCTGACCTTGAACACTTCCAGGGATGGGTCATCCACAACTTCTCTGGGCATCCCTCAATACTGTGAGATGTGAGGCTGAGTTTTTGTTTATGTAAAACAGGAGTCCAAGGCAAATTTTGCCTGTTACAAAACTGGTGTCAGACTCCAGTGACTCTTTCATCGTTTCATGTGGTGTCTTGCTTGTCTGTGTTCTAGCACTTTAAGATGTCTGTAGGTGTTTTTACTGGGACCTGTCACTCTTACTTTTCCCCAGCAGCAGTAAAATTGTTCAGTCCCAACTCATGGTGCTGTAGCCTGGATTCAGTCTACATGAGATGTCCCTTGCTAGATGAGGACTGTCGTGCAGAAGGACCATAGTACAAAATTGAAAGAAAATAGTACAAAATTGATGTTTCGTTGCCACTGATCTTCCCAGGTGTATTTGCTAGCTGGTACTGCTGTGTAAGAATAGATAGGGCACATAGTTTTTCTGGTGATGTGGCTGTGGGAGGATTTTTCAGTACTATTTCACGGCTCTTTGGTTCATTTTTTGTCTTTTTGCTGTAATGGTGAAAACATATGGCAGTGAAAATTTCTAACACAAATTCATCTAGAAGGTGGCTGTTTCCCTTTCAGCCATCCCAGATGCCTTCTGTGGGACAGGGTTATGTGTTGACCCTTCCAGGATGACAAAAGTATGTTGACATGATCTGTCTCTGGGCTATGAAATGGGAAAGATACATTGACAGCCTCCAGTTTTCTGTGAGTTTAATAGTACTCAAGAAATGTATGGGCATGCTGGAAATTTGAATGCCTTGAAAAAGCTCCAAGGAACTACAAGAAAAAAGCAGTTCCTTGTGCTGATCCATTTGGGATGTGTCATTTTCCTTCTCCCACTTTTTGCTTCGTTTGCACCAAACTAATATTTATAGAGAAGTATTTTATGAGACTTGTTTTTAAGCTTGCTAAAAGTAACATTTTGACCTCCATTTTACCTGTTCTTCGCCATTCATAAGATAATGTTTCCTCTTTTCATTTTCCTCAGTGAATCTGAGCCAAAATTACACTGAGTTATTAACTTCCTAATTAGTTTAAAGCAGCAAATATGAGTATCTTTGGACATTTCAGCAGTTCTGGAAACAGCTTATATTCCTGGGCCTTTCTGATGCATGTGAAGCTATAGGAAAGTATTAGAGTGTTCATTGTGGTACTCATCATCTCATTTTCCTTTCTTAACAACTATTTTTCTTAGCAGTGCATTGCTATGGCCTTAAATTTCATTATCTGCCTGCCAAAATCTGTTGATTGCAGCAGCAACTCAGTGATGTTCTGCAAGCTACTCCAGGCGGCCATAGCAAGTGACCACGGCTGCTTTCAGTCCAGGTTCAGCCATGGCACTGGACTCCTCTGGAGTGCCTGCCTGAGATCCCCTGCAGGTACCAGAGCTCAGGAGTTCCCCCTCCCTGTGTGTTTCCAGCACTGCTGCCCGTGGTGGTGCCCACAGAGAGTGGTGTTCTTTCATCCCCTGCACGTGTGCACTGGAGCGACACCCCCTACCTTGGCCAAGGAATTTCCTGGTCCACGTATGGTGCCATTTGTGCAAAAGGGGAAAATTCTCTCCCTCGGGCCTTGATCACACCAGTAAATTCATTATATTTGACTTCAGTGATTAGGCAGGCTGAGAGCTGAATAACCTTACTGTATTCAGCCATCAGAGTGCATCTTGTCTCCTGCCTTATTTATAAGGTGCCACATTCCAGTCTCAGCTGCAGTTTCTTGTTTCCCTGACTGATTTTGAAAAAAAACCAAAACAACCCAACAACAAAAAAGACCAAACCAAGAGACAAAAAACCAATCCATCCTATGCAGTACACATGTAACTAGTTACCCAGAGAGTGGGGAAGGCAGACAGATCATTTTAAAATCTCGTTCTGATGCAGCACATCATGACTTCTAAAATCTGAGCAGGGGGAAGCCTTGCAACAAAAGCATTTGTTTCAATATGAACACATCTATATTTCAGGAAATAATTTGATGCTAAGCCCTGTTAAAACAGTCAGCTTATGCTCTTAAATCTCCTATGTGTCAGAGACTTGGGGAATCTAAGGAGCCAGTAATCCCCTTGACAGGCACATAAAGATAGGTGAATGCCCAAAAAAGAAAAAAAAAAAAACCAAAACTGCTTTCTTCAAAAATCTGTTTCTATTTTGCCACCTTCATCTACTAGAATCAGAACCCTGATTTGGGAATGCTATATCAGAGTTCAGCAATATTTTAACAGCCTCAGCATTCATTTGCAAAGTATATAGAAGCTGTAGCATTTTGAAGTGCAAGAAGAGCACTATTTCTTTGAGCAATATAATACTACATAAGTAATTGCCTCATCTCTTGCCAGCCTCCTTTTGCTGGTGAAGTGCCACACCTGGCTCTTCAATTAGTCCCTGTCTGGGAGGCTGCTTGATGTGTAGCCCAGCACTCAGTGAAGTGTGCACTGTGGCAATCCAGTGCCAAAGTGCTGCTGCAATTACCTAACTACTAATACGTGAACCACGTGAAATTCATTTCTTAGTGTTGCACTTCATTTTAATGAGAAAAATGCCATTCTGATTCCAGCTACCTTAGTGACCTTCAATTTCCACCCTTTCCCTCAACCTGTGGTCAAGAAGAGGTAGAAGATAATCTCTGTTCCTACAGAATCCCAATCGTGTCTAGGAACTCTACAAATCACTTAGGTTTGTAGATGTGGAGAAGCTCAAGAAGCTCTTGAGTCTGATGCAGCAGACATGAGTGATTTCTACTTGGCTAATTAGGCTTTAATAAGCAGTCCCACTTTTCTAGGGCTGCTTTTCCTGTGTGACATTCACATAAAAAATGAAAGGTGACAAAATTAGAAAAGCAAAATTAAGCAGGCCCCTGGGAATGGGGAATTCTAAAGAATGGCTTCCACATGCAGTGCTCTTTTCTAGATAGGGAGTTGGAGTGCTACTTCTTGAATAACACTGTAATGAGTAATTGTGTATCATAATTAGATACAGCTAATTGTAGTAGTGAGGTGGGTGCTTACTGTGTCCGGTATTTATGTCACCCAGATGCAGAGGTATTCCTGCCTCTGTAGAGATCACCAGACAGTCTGGAGGGGGAACACCTTTCTGTTTGCAAAGCTTGAGGCTTTGTGAAGTGAGACATGAGCCCCAAGGTGAGCAAGGACAGCCCTCCCTGCTCCTTAGCCATGCTGGAGGCTTTCCTTCCAAATGAATGGAGGCAATGCCAAATCAAAATAAATGTTTGCTGTAGGTCACAAAGTGAATAGCTGTCATTCCTCTCATGTCCCCTGCTTCAGTCCTTTTCCAGGAACATTGTTTTTCCCTTCATCAGAATGGGAAATCTGTTGATGAATGGGAAGTCTGTTGTGTACCTGTATTAACAGAAGCTGGGTGCAGTTGTGGTTGTTGTCTGTGGTCTTGCCACTGTTGTAATACCTTATCTGCATGGCATAGGGGAGAAGTACATTCATGTCAAAGCTAAGGAAAAAAGTGATCTTGCTGGCAGCTAATGACAGGAAGGAAATAGAACATAATATTGTTTAAATTTAATTTTAAATATTCTTCAGTGCTCTTTGCTTTTCCTTCATATCCCCTCCCTTTTAGAGTTTCTGTACTGAAACTCATCATCTCTTCTTTCCTTAGTTCATTCTACCTTCATTTTTGATTGGAAAGGTCAAAATCCTACTCATGTTCTTACCCTTGGGACACTTCTGCTTGACCAGTCACAGATGGTTGGATCTCCTCTGACCATGTACAGTCATGGGCAGGGAATGTTGAAATTCTCTGTACTAAGAATGAGCTGGATGTGAAGTACTAAAGGCTTCTCTGAAGGCAATTGTAATGCCCAAGTTGTAATCTCAGGATTAAACAGATGGGAAGTATGATGGACTTGGGTTTTTCGTGCCTGAGGGCTTCATTTCAGCCTTTCCAGACTTAGTTTTAATATCAATAGGAAAATTATTATGTCTGGTTTTTTGTGGTTTATTATTATTTTTTATTATTTTGGTGGGGGTTTTTTTGTGTACTTTCAAGTTTCTTCCCTTTGTGATTTTCCTGTTAAATAATCTTTGCCTGGGCAAATGTAATTGTATTGCTCTGTGCTTATGCTTTCAAGAAGAGGCAGCTGCTTCCAACTGGCAAGTGACTGTGCTGGTCTCTCATGCAAAATGGCTGGCTTTGCTACTGTACAGTTTTCTGCTCAGCATGTAGCTCACAGAAATCACAGGGAGATGGCAGGGGCTTATCAGGATTTCTTGTTCCGTTTACATGTCACTGCAGAGTGATTCTCTTCCATCTGCCTCCTTTGATCACACAACAGCTCTGGGAGGAAAGAAAAGAAGTGGCTGAGCCTTCAAAGCACTAAGCAGCTCTTGGGAGCTTTGTCTCTCCCTAGCTTGCTGCTGCACCTCACAGAGCTGGGAAAGGGAAAGCAGGGGATGCTTTATGTGCAGAAAGATCAAACTCTCACCTCACTGGCAAAAGTAACAACTCTTTGAAGGTACTTATTCTGACACTCCACCAGTGCCAGGTAGGGTGGAAAATACATATGGACATCAGCAAGCCTGTAGGAGCTGACTTCCTTTCTTAAGGGCTCTTCCAAGCTCTTTTTGATTCTCTTCCTGGTGCCTCAGGACAGGAATCCCTGCCTGTGTCTTCCCAGAGCAATCATCCTGAGGATGCCCTTTGTAATGGTGCCATCCAGCTGCCCTCACACCATGTGTTACATGTGCTCTGTGTCCTGTAACTCCATTGGAAATCAAAATAATCAAGAGTTAAAATCCCTTTCAAAATGGATTTAGGATCTTGGCCACTGACCCATCAGGGTGCAGTGCACTGTGGAGAGGAATATGGAATGGAATATGACTGCCAACGTTTCTCTGTAGAAATCTCCTCAAGGTGAAATGTGCTTTCACAGTGGGAAATGAAGGTTATTTTTCTCGTGCCCATATTATTTTGTGTTGCAAACCCTGTGCCAGTCATTTTGGATGCAGACAGCTTTTTGGAAGCAGGAGGCTTTTGAAAAATTTTTGAAAGTCTAGCCAATGATGAAGCTCAGTACTGGTGTTCTGCAGCTCCCACACAAACCTGCTGGCAGTCCGTGGAGGTTTCAGTGTCCTCTCTGAGTCAGTGAGCAGAATATTTTGCTACAAGCTACAGGCCTGCCTTTGTGCCACTGCTATTGCTACCTTGCTTCTGCACAGCTTTTAGAACAGCTATAGTTTTGCAGCCTTGCACTGGGAAAAACCACAGTGGTACTGGGGAAAACATGCTTTTCCTATGGACACAAACACTCCTCAAGCTGCAGTTTTGTGCTAATGAAAATGCAACGTATGTAAAGATTGAGCTTGGTTTATGAGACTGTCACAGCCACCTCAGTGAGGATTTAGTTCCAGCAAGACCTGACTTCTTGTTTTGCTGCGAACAAAGAAGATAATGCAAAAAATAATCACTTGGTTTAATGGTATGCTTCTGTCTTGTGGTAGTTAACAAGTTTAACATGGTCGTGTCACAGAATAGGGAAAGTATTTCAGAATTTATCAGAATTCTCTCTGGAGGTACTGGGATCAAAGAGATAGGGCCAAAGGTAGCAAATCACGGGTTTGAGGTTGCATTCCTGCCACTTCCATTAAGTTCTTTTGGGTAAATAATTTAGCCTTACTGTGCCTCAGTTTTCTTGTCTGTAAAATGGGGATAATATAATCTCTCCATACACAGACAGGTAAGGTGTTTTGTGTTACAAGCCTAAAATATGCTGTATATTAACTATTTTTGAATTGTATGGGGTTTGGGGTTTTTGTTTGGTGGTTTGGGGGTTTTTTGTTTGCTTTGTGTGTGTGTGGTTTTTTTTCTTTTTTTTTCTTTTTTTTTTTTTTTTCTGTGCCTTGAATGTTACTCTATAGCATCCTGCTTCTTCTGGAGCCATCTTTTGCTCCAGACAGTGAGAGTAGCCCTGTCCCATGCTTTTTAGTTTAACTGGTTTAAGTTGAGATAGTAAAGCGGGATGGAGAATGAGAATTTTCCAATTAGCTATTTTGCACTTTTCATGCTTGATTTCCATGTTTGAGCTATCTTGTATTAAAAGTTGTAACTCAGGTAATATTTCAACTCAATGAAAGCATTCAGGTGGTTTATCTCTCTTCAGAGAAGAGTATTTTGCTGAATTTTAGAGCAGCTTTTTTTCCATCATATTGAGTTCATTGAGCACAGAATGTTTCCTTTGGGAGTGCCTATCTCAGAAATAACTCTGTCACCTCTCTGCTATTATGCTGGTATGACAGAATATTGTCGAAGAGTCCAGAAATCACCACTTTGGTTTGTTGATGCAAAAGGTTTCTGGGAAATGGAAAGAAACATCTGAGGGAACAGATTCTCTGGCCTTCATGTTAAAATCTCCTCTGGCCACCTGGCAGATGGGAGATGAAATTTGGTAAAGTATAAGGACAAGGGTTAGCAAAGATTTAGGGAACTGGAAGTGCCTCATGCAAAAAGGAAGAAGGCTTGGAAGGAGTCACCAAGGCCAAGAAGAAGTGGGATGGTGATGAACAGACTCTTGATGGAAAGGCTGAGTTTCATCAGGCTATATATATACAACTATACAGTGGTGCTTCCTGGAGATGGTGGAGATAGGACAACGGGCAGATTTTGATCTCCTCTGCTCTAGCTTCACTCCTGGTGAACCAAGATGTGACTGAGGTCAGAACCTGGACCATTCCATAATGTGTTTGGCCCCCTGAACCGAGCAGTAAATTCTAATAACAGATGACCATTTTTAACCTACATTTCGTGGGCATCCAGAGTTCCAGTATTTGTATACATCCTATCATCTGAACCCACATCTGTTCCAGGAGTTGTAATAACATCTCAAAGGGCTCTTTTATGCTACCTGACACTGAGCATAATACGCTGGAACATCTTGAGGCTGCCAGCTGGCAAAAGGAACCCAAGGCACACAGCAGTACCCATGAATAGAGGATATAGGTTTAACAGAGAATCAAGGCACAGATAATCATCAGTGAGGGGAATACATGAAGGAGGAGGGGCTTTTTGTAACAAAGTAAGAAAGTATTTTCTTCCACAATTTTCTTGCATTTCCTATTTATACAAATTATCTTGATCACTGTGTTGCT